TTTCAAGTGGTCATATTTACCATGTTTACTATGGTAATGGTCTTTTGCATCGCAAATATTTCTGCCTTGTACGGTGATCAGAATCCACATCGAATCACAAAAAGGTGGTTTTCAAACACTCGCTGCTGACTGAAAGTGAGTTTTGAGCTAAAATGATTTTAAAAGTCTTTAATGCTGGTATATGGAATCATCCGCGGGGCTTCCGTCTCCAGACTCAGATAAACTCTGACTTTGTTCGTAACCACTCCTCAAGCCCGAGCTGGCCCGCTTTGGACCAAGGTATTCGGCGGCCAAAAAACCAGTAGCACCTCAATGCAGTACATGAGATCCACGGGGAGGAGTCGGATCAAGATCCAAGGGGTGGAGATGGGTAGGATTAGGGGTGGGTTTAGGGATTAGGGGTGGGTTTAGGGATCAGGGGGCGGAGATGGGTAGGTTTAGGTATATGTAAGGTGGGAGGAGTTGGATCTGGATCCGACTCCTCCCCGTGGATTTCATGTACTGCATTGAGGACCATCTCCAAAAAACCCTGGCCGTTGGCCCAGAGGAAGCCCCTAACGTGGCCTGATCAAGCCCCAGAAGTGACAGTGGAAACGCGACTGGCCCTGGCACGCACTAGCACCCCATTTTTTGGCCCGACAGTGGAAACGCTAATGTTATATTCACCTCCTGTCATGACCAGTAATTTTCTCCACAAGGATACCAAAAAACAGGAACTCCTTTAAGAGATTTTTAAAGCATTAAGTTCATTCATCTAGAGCAGTGGTACCAGCACTAAAAGGAAACACAATTTGTTACAATTGAAACAAGCACATCAACAAAAGTGTGATTTACATTTTTGCAGTAATCGACAGCATGCCAGAGACTGCCCATAGACCCTCAATTTTTTTGTCCACAGAATTGATCAATTTGACACTACATTTTTTTGGTTTCAGATCACCCGTATTTTGTTGGTGTCCAGTATCACCCAGAATTCACATCCAGACCGATAAAACCATCTCCACCATACTTTGGCCTACTGTTGGCCGCTGCAGGGAGGCTTCCAGGTTATCTCCAGAAAGGCTGTCGGTTGTCGCCACGGTATGACCGACTAAGCAGCTATATTTATCCCAATGTCATCCCAAAATTTGTCCCAAAATTTGTTAAAAGCTGGGTTCTGTCTTTGGAAAAGAGACCTCATACAAACCATCTTGAAGCTGTAGATCATTATCTATTAAAACATTTGTTGGGACCTCAAAGCAGTGGCTATTTGACAAGCTTTGCATGATACTAAATAGTTGTTTTCTGTTCACAGAGACACATACAGTGACCGAAGCGACAGCAGTTCTCCAGACTCAGAGGTTGCAGATTTTAAACTATGTTCAATTGCTCAGGAATGAAACAGTTAATGGTATGTTACATGTGATCTTATCTGTAAACGGCATGATTGCCAGACAAACTTAAGTTTTTGTTTTCAGGGCCTGCTTTTTGAGAGAAAGAATGTGCCGATATGTGGTTTTAAATTGTCCAGTTTTAACGGTCAATGGAATGAACTCTTGAGGATACATGATCAGCCGTTTTGTTTAAGCTGTCCTTTTTTCCTTGTTTGTACATGTAATCATGCCAATTAAATTTGTGGACTTCCTTTGGGCAGCTGTTTAGATAAACGTTTCAGTTCATCATACTGTAACAGGATTTGTAACTTGTTTTGCTAGTGTAAATAAAGTAATGCATTAATTTCACTGTCAAGGTTAACATATCAAATAGTTTGACTAAGAGTAACTGACTTCTATCCAAAAATAACCTTGAATTTAGTAACATGTTTTAGCCTAAATAACTTGGTGTAAGCAAAGTCAAACGTGATAATGACAAAGAAATTAAACCAACCACTTAAATCTAACTGATGACTAGTCTATACTTGGGCTATGGTTAGATGTCTATTAAAGGGTTAGTTTGCTTCAGAATAAAAATTCTGATAATTTACTCACATCATCCAAAAGATGTTCATGTCCTTCAGTTGAAAAGAAAACATTCCAGTATTTTTCTCCATATAGTGGACATCAGTGGGGTACAACAGTTTGAAAGTTCAAATGATCATCTTGCACTGCACCACCACACATTATGATTGAGAGGTCACGTGACAGTCTTTGCACACACTGGGTCGGTACTTCTGCCTAAGTCAAACGCTAACTGTGACCTTTCTGCACATCGCAGAGCTAGTGCAAGGCGTGCATTTGTGGTTAAGTATATAAATGCTTTTGTTTTGATAAGACCCTTATTCCTCAGCTGGGATTGTGTATAGCCCTTTGAAGCTGCATTGTTAAAATCATTGTACCCATTTAAATCCACTACATTGAGAAATTCTGGAACTTTATAAAAAAAAAATTACTTTGAAAGACTAAAGGCGGTCATACACTGCGATTTCAGCACGGTACCTACTCACACTGAACCGAGTAAATCGAGCTGCGACTTCACTGCTCACACTATACGTGTGAAATATCTGCAATAAACCCCTGGATTGCACCTATACTGCCCTACAAAGCAAAAAGGCAGTAACTGCATTTTTGGTCAAAAATGAGTTATTATCATTTTCATGACATTCAAGGCATCCTTTATGTGACAAAACATCTTATCTCAAATGTGTGTCGTTTTAGAGAAAAATGGTAGTCGTTTGTACAGTAACTGCAAAAAGCCCTAGTGAAACAAAGCAAGAGTACAGTAACATCCATTACTGTATTCTTGCTATGTTTTACCTAACAAAAAATAACTGTGTTGCTGCGCAGTGTAGTTACTGTTGCCATGGTGAACACACAGCTGATTTCGCGGCATCCTCACGGGACGGTTTTAACATTTGCGATTTCACGCTTCTAACTTATTCACACAAATTTAGTTTGAGATGCAGTGTTTCACCTAATTGTTCCCCTACCAAACTAACACACACACACACGCGCGCGCTGAAGCACGTGTGTGACGATCGAGCTGTTTTTTTGCCTATATGAGGACACGGTCTTCACGGCAACCCGTCAAAATAAAAGTTCGGTTTAACTTGACAAGAAATATATTACTGCTGTACAGTAGAATTTAGAAACGTCTAAATGTAATAATAATACTAACACTACATATAAATTAAGATTAAAACTTAATTTTTATTCAATGTTTTAATTTTAACAGTAAAGCTCATTGTGCAGCATGTTGTTTGACCAAAAATGTTTGTTTTTAAAATATTGTATAAGTTTAATAATAGTTTATAATAAAAGTTTCATGATTTCAATTAATTAGACATGATTTTTGATTACTAAAAATTTACACCACATATCCGTAACACGCCCGCTCCGCAACACTGTTTCGCAACACAAAAATTTTGAAAATGTTGTCCAAATGGTTCCAATTATTTCAAACACAGTGTATTGACTCAGAGCCCAGGTTGTGGCAAAATAGTTTTTGGAGAATCTGTAGTTACTGCCTTTTCCCTTGGTATGGTGCCACGTTTTTGGCAAGTAATACAAAGCAAGAATACAGTAACTGCAAAATAGGGGTAAAATATCAAATTAAATATGAGGATTGATATGTACAAAGAATAAGCTAATATAAAAGTAACAAAACAGCCACATGTCCAATAATCTACCTACAACTACTTAGGCTGGATGACAGGATAACTTTAAAGTCATTTTTCTCTGTTCTGCACTCTGCGTAGTTACTGCCTTTTTGCTTTGTAGGGCAGTATAGATATGTATCCAGAGATATTGTCAAAACAAGCATCAGCTATCAAGATGATTTAGCATTTCCAATTTATGCATGTTATTAGGGGAGGCCTAGGCTAATTTTATTATTAAATTGATCCACTGTCTATTATAATTTGCCACGCAATAATTTCACTGCACATAACCAACATGCTGTGAGGATAATAAATTACAGAAGCTTACTACTCATTGAAAATTGTCCAAAAAAAAAGTCATTCGGTCGATTACAATGAATTATAGGCATATAAATATTAACGGTCTATAATATGTACGAACATTGCAATAATGAAAATTAAAAACAGGTTTGTTTCAAAAACATTAACAAATTAAGAGGCGTTACATCACATGTAACTTGGAAGACGTGGGTAATATATGGTTAATCCATTTCACAACACAAAACTGGAGGTAAGCAACAGTAATTTGTAGCTAGTTTGAACTACAGAACTTAAAGATCTCCCTCTTTTCATTTTAGCTGCAGATGAAATGTTAAACCGTTTTTGCGCAGGCGCCGTGAGGGAAAAACACTTAGTTTAGGGCAATCAGGTCGTAGCTTTGCTTCAACTGGGAGTCACGAGGAGCGACCTTCCAGAAATTCATCCGACCACCCGATTATCGATCGGGAGAGGTTAATGCCTCTCCCTGTACACTGCACGACAAAGCTAAGTCGGCCCGACCCGAAAAAGTCACACGAGTCAGAATTCAGCTCAAAATCGGACAAAAATCGCAGTGTATGGCTGTCATAAGATCTTAGATGTGGGGTTGAGTAAAATCAGGGCATTAATACTGAAGTGAACTGGTCCTTTAAATTCACTTGCAGACCAAATTTCCTTTTATACTAGATGTCAGGGCTGTGTTTGGATGGCTATTAGATATCTTTTAAACAAAATTGCTTGCTGGGTTGGTACACCACTCACTGAGAAACAGATTTTGGAAGAGCCAAGATTGTCCAATATAGCACTTAGTGCTTTAGTTTATTAAAAAACAAGTCAAAGCCACAAATGTAGAAGCCTTATACAATTTACATTAGGATTAGGTTGGACTTGCACCACCCATGTAAAAACTTGAACTTCCACCTGCTGGTCAAAAGCGTCGGAGCACCTAAAGAGAAAAACATGCAAAACAATTAGCTATAACATACACCAAAGAGACAGTTTTCACAAGCACTGATCTCAGACCCATTTCCGTAGTTTCATCCAGCAGTCACCATCAAAAAGTGATCATCATTGATCAGGAATCAATTACACCATCAAAAGCCAATAGCAACATACCTGGACTTGCACCACCCATGTAAACACTTGAACTTCCACCGACTGGTCAAAAGCTTCAGAGCACTAAAGAGAGAAGCAGGCAATACAATGAGCTATAAAACACACACACCAAAAAGACAAAGTTTTCACAATCACTGATCTCAGACCCATATCCGTAAGTTTCATCCAACAGTCACCATCGAAAAGTGATCATCATTGATCAGGGATCAATTACACCATCAAAAGCCAATAGCAACATACCTGCACTTGCATCACCGTTACCACAGGTAATCAGCACCTTTGAGGGAAAACAAAAGCACCATTAACACAAGCCACAAATCAAAATGCAAGAACTTCAGCAGCTAGTGCTGAATGTTGGACAGTAGAGTGACCTACACAGACACAAGCAGACAGGTGGTCAAAGTCTCCCCATTAATTTAGCACATAATTGGACAATCTGGTGCACAAAGAGCACAGATTATCAGAAAACGTGCAGAAAGACATTAAGGACAATGAACTTACCAGCACATGGACCCACAATGGGCATCTTCTCACTGGCAGCACTGCACCTTGTGATGACAAAAGAATGTTAAAGCTAAACGAGGACTAGATTATAACGTGGAGCAATGAGAACAGTTAAAGCTGGCTCAGAACGTTTATTTGATTCTCATAATAGAGCTGCTCTCTCAGAGAGGGCAAGTTTGTCATCATAGCCAACATAAAACCAAAAGCCTTAAACAGAAACCAACCTTTTACAGAAGGCTCACTCAGCCCATCTCAATGAGCATTATGGCAGGACATTTCATCCATCCGAGAATAGTCTTTTGCACCACCCAACCTGCATGAAAAATAGTTACTGTTAGGTAGGACTACGTAAAATAGAACACCCATGAAAACAAAATTAACCATGCTGTATAACCAGTTTTACTACAAATAACGTAACCATGGTTAAACTACTATGGTGCAGTAAAACCATAGTTTAACAATCTGAAAGATTTTTTTTTTTTTAGTGAAACCATGTTTGATTTTTGTATGGATTGTCCTTTTCCTTAATGTTGCTGGGACAGCTACAGGTTAACTGTTCAGCGACCGTCGGTAAAAGTGTTGCTATCGGCTCCTGTTTGACCGCGCCTGCTATAGCTGAACAGGAACGGCTTCGATCAGGGCCGTGAATAACGATTTCAATATCAACATTTAATATGCATGAGCTAACGCCATTTTTTCAGCTACAAGTATAGTTTAATTAACGTAGTATTCGTCAACCGCTAAATAAGTTTGAACGTGTAACTTAGTGAACTTCCAACAATATAGAATAACGTTAGCATATTGCTATATGCTACCATATTCAACTCGAATCACCAAGTTACCTCTGCAGTAGTGATTACGGCAGAACCTCGTGGTGAACCGAAACGCCATTCTTAACGAACACCTGGCAAAAAAGCACAAACAAATAAGTCAGTATAACCTGCACGAACTTACAATAAATACGCATATACATCAAGCAAAGTATGGAGCAATCTAGAAATAGTAACGTGTGACAAGTAAGATGGTAAGTTGCCGTGAAAGGTAAGTTACAAATATAACGTTCGCCTAAAATGGCGCCGATTTGCAAGCTAACTTACTCTGCAAGTAACGTTTCACTGAGCCACAAAACCAAAATGTTACTTTCAAAACGTCATAGTGATTACAAATAAGTCACTTTAATACGAAATTGTAAATCTAACGTACTTCATTTAGCCTAAGACAAAACCTAACCGCGCTGTTACGCACTAACGTTACATCCCGATTAACTTCTAAAAGTCAAAATATTCTAAGATCAACTCACAATGAAAATATTGGTCTAACAACCAAACGAATTATCTTTGAGAAGTAGTTATTGAAACATACTACACAGTTTTCGACGTTTCAGAAATGAAGAAATCTCACCTCCATTCTTTGAGAAAGCAGTTCGAAAGAGGAAGGAGTAACTGTGACCCGAACTTTTATACAGCGAAACCTAACCTGATTGGTTGTAAGGCTCATCGTTGATTGGTTGAATGAGGTGGCTTGGTCGCAAAGCTTGATGGGATATGTATTTTTGAGTGTATAAAATGAGTTCTAGGATTCCCCCCCCCCCCGATTAATTTAGGCCTATTTGATTACTGATGTCTCTCTTTTATTTAATCAAATGAATGTTTTCAGTGTGAAATATATTTATACTGAAAAATGTATGTATATAAAAGTAAGTAATAAAGTAATTATCATGTTGTTGTTGTTGTTAAAATCGTGTTCTAACAAGACCTTGCTTTTACACAACGACTGGATATTATGATCTTAGCTAAAAAAACAAAAAAATAAAAAAAAACATGTTGAAGTAAATTACTAATTCCATCTGTTTACAGATTGTGCCATACAGGAATTCGTAGCGGGAGAATTCTGTGATCAGGACTAGTGAGATACCGGTCAGATGATTATAGCTCATTAAACGCTTTATCTAAATTTGTTTTATTATAATAGGCTATTTACAAGCATATTTTGGGTGCTGGGCTTTTTGAATTGTTTGATGAATACCCCGGCTGCCCCAGTGTCACTTCTACTTCAGCACCATGGACAGATCCTGTGGCCTCGGAACTACAATGGCTTGGACCGAGACAAGATCACGGGTCCAGTAATCTTCTCTACCATCAATTTTTTCGCAGAAAAAAAAAAATACAAGTTACATCTGAATTTCCTAAATAAAATAATGTTTTAATGAAAATTAATTATATCCTTGCTATTTCGTTGGGATTTGGGATAAAATGTTTACTCCGAGTATTATTAAATGCATATTCAATTAATTATTAAATATTGGTGCTTTTATCATATTGCTATTTTATAGGCTACAAGCAATAAAACACAAGGTCTTGAGTTACAGGGACTTTACCCCCTTTACTCCGCTTCTGTTTAGGCTACTCGTGGTAAAATCATTGTATCACACTGTTTTTAGTGGCTTAAAGCACATACATATAAACTTATAAATACAAGCGTAGACTATACAGCTAGGCCTGCTTATAACAGCATATGCATATGCTAATGTGTAAGGAAATGCTTATGTCGCAAAATAGGTTCCGCTTCCTCCAGTCTTCAAATGAAAGTAATTCAGGTCATTTGCTGTAGTTACACATTAGATGGAATTGAGATGTGAGAATGAGTGCATCACATGACTGCAGCACATCCACCTCACCGCCCCCGCCGCTCCGCTCCATACACTCAATGTAAACACCGTTAGCGCTCCTGCTTTGTCTTTGAGCCTGTGGCTGGAGCTCTCGACTCACTATGCCATGGATATTTTATGGCAATACCAGTTCAGGATCATTTTGCTGGGGGACTCGACGGTGGGCAAATCATCTTTGCTTAAGAGGTTCACGGATGGCATATACAGCGATGTAGCGGACCCTACGGTCGGTGTGGATTTCTACGCCCGTTCAATAGACATCGAACCCGGGGTTAAAATCAAACTACAGCTGTGGGACACAGCCGGACAAGAAAGATTCAGGTTAGTGCTCTATTCATAATAATAATAATCATTATGTATTATAATAATTATTATTATTAATGTTCTGTCTGCTGGCTATGTTTCCATGATATGGATTGATTGTGAAGCCTACATCACTATGATTTTATCACACAGAATGACGGCAAGTAGCCTATCCATGCATGCATTTGCGATGTCATTGGTTGTGTAATCTTGCAGGGTTATGTTCTAGGTTAGCCCTTTATACTATGCCTTTATATCATAGCCTATGATTCTACTTTTATGTGTATGCCTATTATATCATCTACCTGCTGGGTTCACATTCACAGGCCTGCCAATGAATGAGTTAAACTGGCTCATCTCATTGATTTGTTCCAGTGTCACATGCCTCACCTGTTTGTATTCAGTAATGAGCGTGTTTGGTTTAGTACTGTCACTGGGCTCAGATCCTGATGTCTCTGATCAGCTTGCCCTATTTTTGAAGCACCGCTTGCCTTCAGGGAAGCACAAACATCCACCCTCAATGCTTTAAAGGACCATTCATGAAATGTAAAAATCAACCACCACAAAAGCCTTTCTTGTTTTTAAATGTATTCAGAATGATCAGACTCCCACTTGATTTTTCCACATATAATAGACCTATCATGCACACTATGTGCACAAATGGACACTTAGGTTCTGCTCAACATCCTTTCAGGTATATGATCTATTAGCATTAAATGTATATTTGCAATCATTTTAGTATGGGTTATTGACCAGACACCTAGAAACAAGCAACTGCAGATGAAAAAATGTATATAGAAAGTCACACTGCTTGAATGCGTGCCAGTGCTATATTGCCACACAGTGAAATGTGGTGTGGACAAATTAAATAATGTCAAAGAAATAAGGAATGCATACATTTCTATAGCATCAGTGCCCCGTGAACACCCTTTTGGAGTTTTAATGCTGTATACTAGTCCTGATATGATCTTATGTTTGTGTAATAGATTATTCCAATATGAGTTTATTCTCATAAATATAACTTTGATGTAACTTATAAATTACTTGATTTTTCATATTTAAAAAGTAATTTTCTGTTATTTGGATATTAGGTACAGCTTGCAAAATCCATCCTTCAATATCATTACACTGAGATGTCTGCTAGGTAGCTAAGTTAAATTACACAATTAATAAACACAACTGAAGCCTCAATGGTTTCTGGTTTCAGATGTAAATGAGCAAGGTAACAAATTGGGTATTAAAATAATTGGATGGGTTCTACAACAACTGTAAACAAAACAAAACATTCGTTTAACATTTCTAACACAATCTCACTGCAATTCGTAACTATTTTATGTTTTGGCGTGTATAATATATATATATGTGTGTGTGTGTGTGTGTGTGTGTTGGCTAATTTGTATGAATTTTTATGATCCCAATTATATGTTTTTTCTTCCGCACTGATAGTTAGATGTAGGGATGGAGCTTCGTGCTTATTTTTTTTTTCCGATTGAGCTTAACTTAACTAAGAATCTTGGAATTATTCGGTGCATCCATGTAATCATAAGAGACTTGAAAATATCATCTTCTTTTTCCCCTCAGGTCCATCACTACTTCCTACTATCGCAACTCTGTTGGCGGGCTCTTAGTATTTGACCTGACGAACAGGAAGACCTTCGATCATGTGCGTGAATGGCACCGAGAAGTCAGCGAGCACATCCTGCCTCATCACATGGTCTACATCCTGATCGGCCACAAGAGCGACCTGAGCCACGACCGCAAGGTGACGCGGGACGAGGCGGAGCAGCTGGCGGCCGAACTCGGCATCCGCTACGTGGAAACTTCAGCCAAGTGCAACAGCAATGTGGAACGTGCTTTCGAGCTGCTCACACGGGACATCTATGAGCTGATGAAGATGGGTGAGATCTCCACGCGTGACGGCTGGGATGGGGTCAAGAGTGGCCTCACCGCTAAAGTTCTTTATCCAGCCGAGGAGGAGGCGGAGCGAGAAAAGAGCTGCAACTGTTGACTTCCACAATCCACCTGTAATTGCTCACCTGTGTATCAGTCGGTCGTTGCTCACCTCGGCTTTCACTAATGTGTCGCATCATGGTCACTGCCTCAGGGCCTGGACCGCTGCACTTACCTTGTTGTTGCTGTCTGAGGTTGATGGTACAAGCCATTCAAAGGTGTTGTATATTTAGGCTTGCATGGACAGGCCCTGCTTCTTATTGTTGAAATTCACCCCTGTTCTGAAGTTTGCAGCAATCTTGTGGATAAACATTTTTACATTCTAGTTTGAGCTGTATGTATCATTGTACTTCCCATCCTCTGGAGCTATTACGGTTTATTTGGCTTGTTCCTTTCCCTTTCCCTTTAACCATTATTACTGTGATATCATTACCATTTAAAAAAAAAAACATCTAGTGATTACAATTGACACTGTCCGTTCACTTACAGATTTAAAGACCCCATAAATTGGCTTGACAACATGGTTTTCTTTCCTGTGTTGACATTTCTTATTGAAGCAGATATTTGGAGCTGGACAAATGGCTTGTACTTATCCAATAGCTTTTAGCTTATGTTAGTGCTGTGAACCATAGTTGGCAGGTATTAGGAGGAGGACATTGGAGAGCATTTGACCTGACAAATATGTCATCAATATTATTTGGTCCGTTTCCCTTGTAGCAGTAAAATTTGCTGCGACTTGGACTGAAAGCGACACAACTGAAGAGACTTGGACTAAAAGCCACAAAATTCCCATTTTAGATAAGAATTTGAGACAGTAAGGACAGTTGTTGGCTGGTAGACATCATTTCTGGGTAAAAAGGCAAGACTAAACCTCCTTTCTAACTAATCGCTGGGTTTGCAAATGTAATTACACAATTTCATCCATTTCTGATTCATTACTTTTTTATACCACATTGTTATAACAACCCAACTTCTGCAGACATTATTATGTGCACCAAACCAACATATTTTATTGTAATAATTCAGGAACTAATCGTAATTGCAGCATATTTTAAATTGTCACCTGTTCATGGATAAATACATATTTTGTCAAATCTGTTGATGTAGAATTCATTCTCCAAAAGCATCTAAAACCTAGTGATCTGCCCATTTAGACAGCATTGTAGTGCATCATAGATGAATTCCAGAAAACAAAAACAGACAGAACAATTATTCTGCTTCTAAGACACAGTTTCTAGGCAGCATCATGTGTATCATCCAAGATTAAGTCAAAAGAAATGTTGATTATAAATATATCTCATTCAATGCTAAAAATATCAATCTAATTAAATTGACTGTTTTACCCACAATTGGTGTGTGCTATGTATGTTTGTGCATATTACTAATATCCTTAGCTCAGCAACACGCTAACAAGTGTACAACAAATTGCTACTTATGTGTAGCATTTCAAAACAGTCACTTACATATGAGGTCCATTTGGTTAGCATGTCGCCTTAAGCCCAAAGTATTAACTTTACGACACAAATAGCGTATGCTATATGAAACGAATAGCCTTTCAAACTATACTCCATTCGTAGCGATAGCACGAACACGAACGCAGGCACTCGACACATGCGAACTAGAACATTTCATCCTTGTTCAGTGTCTGCGCTATTTCTCCAGAAGTTATGAGCGATAACAGTGTTTTTGTACTCAAAATACTTTGTACTAGAATTGCGGGTATCTATCCCCCAGATTAATGCAATGAAATGTAAGTTGGTTCAACTTAATTTGATCAAGTACAGCTTAAATGAAATAGATACATTTTTAATTAGATTTTTTTATGCTTGTCCAACTCAAACTAAAAAATTCAATTGAAAAATAAATTATGATGTCGAAATGCTTCCAATTTTGTTCCCTCTATATACAGTATATAGACATACAGTATATAACTAAAAGTCATTAAAACATGTATAAAACAGTTATTTACTGTAAAACGTCCTAAAATATTAGGAAAAGGAAAAAAATATCCAATAGCTGAATTGAATAACATTCAATATGATAAATAAACATCTGCTGTTTGTTAATGAGTTATTGAATTCAGAACTTTTACATTTTATGTTTACACTTATTCATTTAGCAGACGCTTTTACCAAAGCAACTTACAAATGAATACAACAAGAAACCAAACGTAAGGAGGCAAACACAAGAAGTGCTAAAAAATACAACAATTTAAACATTGATCGGAATATACTAGCTAAAACAGAGAGGGATTTAATAGTCAAAGCATAGAAGTGTTTTTTTTTTTTTAAGTCTTTATTAGTGCTCAAGGAAGAGATGAGTTTTCTGCTGTTTCTTGAATATTGTCAGGGATTCAGCTGTCCGGGTATAGGGTTAGGAATATTGCGCATGTTGGAAGTCCAGCCAGAAGAGCATTGCAATCCAGTCTAGAAATGACAAGGGCCTGGATGGGAAGTTGTTTGGCATGCTCTATTAGGAAGGGCCTGATCTTCCTGGTGTTGTGCAGTGCAAACCTGCATGATGGTGCGATGGTCTTTGCAATGTGGTCTCTGAATGTCTGCTGGTCATCAAAGATTACCAAAAGATTTTTGTCTAAACAGGATGGAATTATTGTTGATGAGCCTAGCTGGATAGTGAAATTATGCTGAATCGTAGGAGTGGCTGAGAAGACGAGAGTCTTTGCTAGATTGAGTTGCAGGAGATGTTCTTTGCTGAGATGTCCGCCAGGCGGTGTAAGATCAGTGCAGCTACCGTCAGATCGTCTACCTAAGATGAAAAGTAAAGTTGTGTTCCTTCACATAGCAATAGTAGGAGAATCCACGTGCCTGTGTAAAATAGGATCCTAAGAATATATGGAGAAGAGTAGGGGTCCTAGCACTGACCCTTCAGGTAACCCCGTGACTAGTTGATGGGCTTTGTATTCCTCCCCTCCCCAGTAAACCTTGAAAGACCTATGTGAGGTAAGATTCGAATCAGCAAAGTGCAGTTCCTGTGATGCCCAGCGATTAAAAGGAGGACAAAATTTTTTTAAAAAGGCATAAACTTCATACTTTTTATGTGGAGGGGCATGTCTCTGCCTTATTCACAATCCTAAAAAGAAGATAATGACATAAATAAATCAGATTTTTTTGCGCAAATATGACTTACTATAGGAAGTTGTCACATTGATGTTCAATAATGCCACAATGATGTTCATCAAACTGTGAAAGAAGATTTAAAGTGCATTTGAATACACATATGACAGCAGATGCTTTTGTTTACATGGTTTTATTTTCCCCAACTCTCACCTAATATGACAGACTGTACATTTCATTTGGTTCTATTGTCTGATAAATATTACTTGGAATAGGGAGAAAACATGGAATATTTTGCCTTTTATGTGTCCTGTTTTTAATATATCGACAACATTTAGATATGGTTCTCCATGTTATTCTCCATATTCTGTAAGAAAAATGTCCGATGTGTCATATTTTAAAAAAAAAAAGTTGCGGGACATATTTCGGTTATCGTTCTTGGTGTGAATGGGCCTTTACACTTAAGCTATTTCTTCAGACCAGAATATCATACAGACTTGCAGATGGGCATAGTCTAAAAGCACCACTGAAAATCTAGTTTTGTCTACTTATATTGAGATGTAACTCACCAACACCAGGATCTTATCTCATGAACTGGCTGTATACTTTATGACACTGATAGTCTCTGAGTAATGAAGACTATTTGCTATTTAGATCAGGGCAGAGGTACAGATATAAGAACCCCATTTCAGGACACTCCTCATTCCACCAGCATGTCAGCAAGACTTCAGTTATACCTGCTGTAAAGAGATTTTGCATGCAGCATAGCTGAGCGTCTTAGCTCCATCATGTGCTGACGGCTTTACTGGGTGTGTTTGGACGTACCTTTCGGTATGGCTACATTTATTGTAAATAGCAGCAGGGCACAATCTACTTAAATGTCAGGTGAGGCTTTGGTGGAAGCTAAAAGGTTTTTGTGGCTTAACCGCAGGTCAGCGTAACGTCTAGTATGAAAATCGAGTATGGGAAAGTCTTCTACGTGCCAGCAGAACATCAAAATTGTACAATTAGCCTGAACACACCTTTTGATTTTACAGATCAGGTATGAAATTCTTCCTGCCAGGATCTTCTATGTAATAGAAGTTGATCATATCCATTCTGCAGACTTCCCCTCAGAAAACGCAGGAAGAAAATTGGCAGATTCAGTTCCTTTTGAACCATGTGCTGGAAAATCAGTTTTCTGTGCTCATTTTCACTTCTTTGTTGTGCAGATGAAAAACCTTCTAATAAATGTGAACAAATTAAACTTTTACAGTGAAATGAGTTAATAACTCAATCCATTTAAAGTTTTAATTATAATATTGACACATTCAAGGGTTTCTCTTCTCACCCAACATTAGAACTTATAAGACACTGGGTTTACACACAAAGAAAGGACTGGACAAATTACTGATCAATCTGCTAAATGTGAAGAATTTAAACAAGTTGGGAGCTGTGGATTTTATGTGTAGGAAATGATGGCGATGAGAGATTGAAGTTAATATGCTGAGAATCAGGTTAAGACTAAATTTATCAACAAAACTCACACATGATAATAGCTAAATGCAGTGTGAAAAGCCTTGTGGAATCACTTTCTGAACATGATATTTCAAATTCTGATGAGTTGAGTAAATTAGGTTATTTTACATTAGTAATAGTGTGTATACATATAGAATGTTTTTTTTCTTTAAATGACTCAATGGACTGAAATATGTGACCACACTGCTGTTGTGTTGTGGCCACTGAACGGTTTTGCACAATTTGACAACTAGTTTCTATGGTAACTGCATTCATTAAATATTTACACATGGCATATTTAACTGCACATTACTCCTCACATACTATTTCACAGATAAATACATTTTATAAAAAAAAAATATATATATATATATATATATATATATATATATTTCCCACAAATCTTTCAAAATGGTGGTGCCAAATACTTTTTACATGCCCCCTTGTGGTCAATAGAGAACAGCTGATTTTAAGAAAGTGGGTTGGAGTGAATGGCATAACAATGATGTTAAATAGCTAGTGTACATGAAATAAGATCATTGTGTATTATAGAGAGAGAATAGGACAGTATAAAAGCAGGATTTTCATTAGTCACCCACTATAAACACTATCAGCCACTCACTGTCGATTCTGATCATAAACACGTCTGTATGTCTACCTTTAGGGGCTCATCAGTGTATTGCACATTTCAAATGTTAAATCAACTGTATTGAATGCTAAAGCCAATAATAATGATGTACATCAAGCTCTGGGCATTGTAAACTGTTAATATATTTGCATTGTGATTCAGTAAATATATAAGATTCAATATGTTTAAATAAAATTAGCATTATCTGTGTTCTCATAATCTCTTGCAGTAGTTTGTTTGTTTGTTGTTGTTGTTGTTGTTGTTTTTGTATGAAAGACAAGCAGTGCAATATGACATGATTTCACCATTGTGAAAATGTACCAAATGACTTTTCAATTATTCTTTCTACAGGTTACTTCGTTATGCCAGTGGCGGAAAGTGAAGAAGGTGCGTCCCAATTCACATACTTCTTTATATGCTGTATTTTAAAACCTCCCCTTTATCCTTATTCACTATTCCTTACACTACTCCACTATAGTCCACAGAACGAGTGAATTAAAACGAGTGAGTGATAGAATGAGCGATTACAGACGCATCCAGCTGATTACAGGTTTTTCAGAGTCGACTCCAACTCTCATCGTTTACTCCATTTACTACATAGCCTAATACAAGATTGCAGTCGTTAATATACATATAATATTTTTCCCCCGACACAAAAGCCTTAAATTCCCCTTATAGTATAGTACTTTTAGTGTGACTGTCCAAATTAGTCCAATTTAGGGGATAACCTTGCATTGAAATGATGAGTATGCTAGCTCTCAATGCCATACCGTTGCCGATACCTAATTTTAGAGGAAACAGTCATGAGAAACAGCCATGGTCGAATATTATGTCAGAATCAAATATACAAGATAGAAGGTATTCTTTAATTAATTAATCTCATTATAATGGTCCTAATGTATGAAGGGATCAAGGCACGTCCGAATCCAATGTTAGCTTTATTTCCTCTCTCCTGAGATAACTTCATCTGATCGATTTCTGAAGGCAGCCTTGTATATTTCACTGCCTTAAATATCCCACAATACTTTGCGTTCCATTCGGTGACAGTTGAGCTAGAAAAATAAAGTTGGCGTCTGAAAGTTTTGGTTGCTATAGTCAGTTTGTGTATAAATGTACGTTTCCAATGTTTTCTAGCGAGAAATGATTACTGTAGTAATTCAATATTTGTTTAGGTATCACCAAAGCTCGCTGTGTTTTGCTGTAAATCATTAAACTGTTACGCTGCCTCAGAAGTCTGTCCGAAATCAGTCTAGTTTTTCAAAGCAAAAACGGATTCTGTGTGAATGGCCCCTAAGGGCTGGTTTTGCTGTTAAAAAAAAGTACAAGGTCTAGAAATGCGTTTTTTGAAAGTTGAACTTTAAAGCAACACCAAGGAACTTTTCCTCTGCGGTCGCCCTACAGGTTGGAAGCGGAATTGTCCTCATTAGAACTATAGAAACGCGACCCGATCTGGCAATCTTACGTGGATATACCAGATAAAGGACCGCAAAGCGGTGCCATAAGTGCATTTCACCATGTCACGACTTTATGAACCACTGAAACGATTTTGGAAACATTTTGAAGGTAAAAAATCCTACTTAGTGTTGCTTTAAACTTGAGGCGTTCTGACATAGAACTTGGAAGCGCTGCACTATTTAGCGTTGTAACAGCGTTGGAGACTGACACAAGAAGAAATTGTTGAATAAAGTCGTAATTTTTGTTTATTTTTGCTTTATAACATCAAGGTTGAACCACTCTAGTCACGTGGACTATTTTAATGTATTTACCTTTCTGGGCCTTGAAAGTGGTAATTGCTGTCTATGAGGGTCAGAGTGTTCTCGGATTTCATAAAAAAATATCTTCATTTGTGTTCTGAAGATGAACGAAGGTCTTACGGGTTTTGTAAAGACATAAGGCAAGGGTAAGTAATAATTTTCAATTTTGGGTGAACTAAACCCTTAAGATTCAATATCGCCACCTAGGCATATCATATAAAATCACTATGACGCCATATAGCCATAGTAATAGTATAATTTATTTTACTTCCTGTTATTTACTTAATAAGATTCGAAAGCAATATAAGCACGTTTTACAACCATTTCATACATAAAATATAAAATAATTTACTTGATGAAATCCAATGAAATCCACACTTGTGTCCTGGCGGGAGGCGTAGGCGTAATTAGCAGGGGTGTGGTTTATAGAACTGCGGGACGCAGATGGCCGCCGAATAAACTCTCTCACCTGAAAACATGAAAACTTTGGGATATAGAAAAAGAATGCTGAAGAAGCCCAGCAGTAGTTTAGCATGGTGTAATAATTCTTCTTCATGCTACAGTACTACCAAGAAACATTTTAGTCCTTGGGGTCAGGAATAGTTTTAATTTACCTATGCTTTATGACCATATGCATTCTCTCTCACACAATATGAAAAACATTTACAGTTGAACGAATTAATAATAAAAACCTTTTTACCTCTTAGATAATTTAGCTATTATTAATTTGATGTTTAATGTGTGTAATTATATTATCTTACTCATTTAAAGTTTGTTTGTAATCAATAGCCAATCAGACAACACAACGAAACATCCAGGGTAATGTTATTGGCCAAAGTGCTTGTCAATCATCCCCGTTACCGCCCCAATCCCATGATGCTTCACTTTAGGATACATTTCTACACAAGTGTTTCGAGCTAATTTAGCGTATTAACCAATAAATATATCTATAATCTTGTGGAATTGATTATACAGTATACAATTAATGGGGAATTGTGAAGTATATTAAAATGTATCGTTGTTTTGACTGGCCAGATAATTGTTACCCTCGCTGAGACGCATTGACTCCCAGAATGTGAGGTCCAGCTGTAGATACAATGGATTAAAAAGGGCATCTGCCGTGAATGGCATAGCTGTGGAAGGGAATCTCTGACACAGTTACGGAATCGCCATCAAGAGATTTCGGATGCACAATTTTTTAAACTCGGAGCTGCCAATGACCGTTGTTCTTGGCGCTCCTAACCATTAAATGGTAATGAAAGATATATCCTTTATAATTTTTCCAAAAAGAGTGTAGTGTAATTAAACATTATAATAAATGGTAATTTATATGCTGATCGATGCATCTATTCTCTGTTTTTTACCTAGTGGAGAATAGATTTACATTCTTAGCATTATGAGTTGTATAGTGTTTTTTGTGAATATCATTTTGATGTGGACTTTTGCGAATATTTTTATTTGAGTGGGTGTGTTAAATTAAAAAAAAATATTTGTGGAAAAATGAATGTAATTGTATCAGATGATATTAAGAGGGGTTACCATATCCATGTACAACGCATAGGCCTACATACTCGTATGGCACTGAAGCTGTTTATTGTTTTATATTGAATGTAACGTTAGATTGGGGTGGATTACCAAATTGCAAAAAACTCCCAAAGTTTAAACAACCCAGTTATTGTAATTATTTTTAATGGATTTTCAAATGCCTGTAGATACCAAGCTAGTGAATTAATGAGTTTCAACATGTATAGTAATATCAGTGTATCTCCAGTAGATCCATTCAATGTTTTCAAATTGTACTCCACACAAGCAGACGCAGAGAGCAGTATTTAGCGGTAGAAATTATTTACAGGAGACTTATTATAGAAACAGTGACCTTTTAAAGTTTTAAACTGTACCATAACATCACAGCTACTTTAACTGATACTAATTCCATGAACCTTGTATATTTTAGTACGAGCAGTCCTGTGTGTACTGTAAAGTCTCTCATGGCTTGAGCTGGAACAGGGACGAGCTTGAGCAGGAAGTGTAGTTCAACAAACTGCGCATGTTCACTCAAAGCCTCTCGCTATGTAAGGATGACACCGACCGCGATCTAAACGGTAAGGCCAGTCCATCGCATTTCAACCTCTCTAATGTAACGGTTAAACATGACTGCATAGCGGAGAACTTCGTCGGGACGTCGACTAGAGGTGTTCGCGGCTCGAGTGGCAGCGGCAGCCCCCTCGAATGGCGGAGGAACGTCTTGTCGTTTGTGTGTGTGCGTCCCGCCGCACGGGAGACGTCATGAGAACAGAACACCGCGGCGCGACGCCAGCGCGTCATTTAGATACAGTCCGCCTGTACGGCCAGCGAACGCTTCATGAATTAGCCGCGCTTGAGGGTGTTTGGGAGTGTGATGTTTGTTTGTAAACACGCACATTCACCCACAAACAAATAAGCAGTGAAATTAAGGTGTGTGTTAGCATAGCACGTTAGCATCACGAACAGCAGATGAGTGTGAATGAAATGGCGCAACATATGAAGAGCTAAAATGCTAACCGAATTAGCCACCGAAGAGCACAACACTTATATAAGTGCAGTCGCTTAGAAACATTCACCATGGCAACCAAAACAGTTATCACCACAATACGATAGGTACAACAATTATTGTTGCTACTGCTAAATCATAATACATGCATGAGGGGTTTCTTTCAAAACAGTGTAATACTTTTTTCATTTAGGTAAATACATTTTTGACAACAGGTGGTTCTTAATAACACCAGTCACTAACTATGGTATTTTGTCGGAATCTGTTGTTACCATGGTAAAGAGAACTAACGTTACCCCGTGTTGTGGTACAGTGAAGATATCACACTGTAGTCTGTAAGTAACGTTACTTTGACGTACTATGACGAGGCTGTACTATGTTCATATTCATGTAACGTTACCATGTCATCTACTCTAACGTACTGCAAAGAATACCATGGTATGCGTTCAATCAAAACATGGTATAATCATGTACTTGCTATTTTGTCTGATAGCATTAGCAATGCAGTCGTTTCGTTTAACAGTCTTCATTAGATAGATGAGCAATAAGCAATAATTTGATCAACTGACCAATGTATATAATTTAAAGCACACTATATCCTGACAACAGTATAAATTATTTTAATTGCAAAAAAGTTTATGTAAAACATTTAGTTATTTTAGTTAAACCATACTTATTTTAAATTATATATTTTATAGTTTTATATTTGTTTAAATAGTGAAATGCTTGGTCATGTAACAGTGACTTGAAGTCACTTTTCATCTCAGGCCATTTTAATAACGAATGGACCACTGGTTTAGGTTCAGGTAACTTAACTGGCTTAAGTCTTGGAGTAAAAATTATTTAAATGCACAATTTCCTTATTTGAATATTATGTGCTTAGACACTAGCTTGAAGATTTGCCTTATCACACAGTTCACTTTCATTTGTTCATACTGAATTAATGCTACAGATGAGACCACTGTATAATCTGTTGTTTATTACTGTCTGCGGTCCGAGTTACCGTCATTGAGATACCCTGACACCTTTAGTGGATCTTCCAGTTAGGGAATGTGAAAGATTAAAAAGGGTCTCTGCCGTGACTGACATAGCTGTGGGAAGGGACTTTCTGACACAGTTATGGAATCATTATCAAGAGATTTCGGATGCTCAATTTTGTAACTTTAGGCTACAATTGATCGATGTTCTTGGTGCCTTGATTTTTAACTGTAAAGAAAATAAAAACAAAGTATTAAAGCAATATGCAATGGTGTTATAAGTTGAAATTTTCCGTGTCAAGCTTATGTCACCTTTGTTTATGTGTGAAGTTTTATGTGTTTATGTTGTTTAAGAGGTGGTGGAGCACATTATAACATTTATATGATTTACTACTACATTTTTGGAATAACACGAAAAAAAATTTTTTGTACAATAAAACCAGGACCGTGGTTTAAGAAACTGATATGGTCAATGTTGATTTTAAATGTCGGACATATCAGGCAATACATCTTCTGAAATATAATCAGTAGTTTAATGGAATATCATGCATATTATTATTATTATGTACTCTACCGGTCAAAAGTTTGAAATAATTATGATTTTGAAAGAAGTCTGTTTAAAGAAGTCTTTGTGTTTAAAAGAAGTCTTATGCTCACAATGCTGTATGCTAAAAATACAGCAAAAACTGTTATATTGTGAAATATTATTATACTTTAATATATATTTTTTTATGTTTTCTATTTTAATATATATTAAAAATGTAATGTATTCATGTGATAGCAAAGCTGAATTTTCAGCAGCCACTACTTCAGTCTTCAGTGTCACAAGATCCTTCAGAAATCATTCTAATATGTGACCCTGGACCACAAAACCAGTCACATGGGTCAATTTTTTAAATTGAGATTTATGTATCATATGAAAGCTGAATAAATAAGCTTTCCATTGATGTTATGGTTTGTTAGGATAGGACAATATTTTGCCGAGATACAACTATTTGAAAATCTGGAATCTGAGGGTGCAAAAAAATCGAAACATTGAGAAAATCACCGTTAAAGTTGTCCATTTATGTTTGCGATTGTGCTGCATTCACTCACAAAAATAAATGTTTTATATATGTACTGTAGGAAATTTACAAAATATCTTCATGGAACATGATCTTAATGATTTTTGGCATAAAAGAAAAATCTATAATTTTGACCCATACAATGTATTGTTGGCTATTGCCACAAATATAGGCTACCCGTGTGACTTGTGACTGGTTTTGTTGTCCAGGGTCACATATGCTAATTTGGTGCTCAATTGTTATTATTGATATACTCAATTATTATAATAATAATCTTAATTATTCCAAACATTTGACCGGTATAGATAAAATATTCACCAGGAATTTCATACTCCTCAGTGTTGAAGGAGAGCGCGGGCTATGGCAGAGACAGAAGTCACTGTGTCCGTGGAGGACATGGTGATGATGAAGAGCACAGAGGAAGAGGATATGGAGCCTGACAACCAAAGCAAGACTCAAATGATCCTACAGCTGCAGCCCATCACAGCTGGGTAGGTGTGAGGATCCTAAACTAGACAGCTAGGTATATCAAAAGAGACACGCATATAATAATACTTTACATATGTCCTATCTTTAAAAGGACCGAAACAGCTTAATTCTTGGGAGTTAACAGGTGGAGATTGATGTTATAGATGGATGTTTTATGTTTGTAGGCTTGGAGATGAAAGCAGTGAGACAGATGCTGCAGTTGTGGCAGTGGAGACACAAGGTAACCCTGTCCCAAAACGTATTGATAGTCTTTGCATTATGACTGTGGGTTTTGCACAGCCAAGCACCACTCATATGTTCTTCATTTAATGTAGTCTTGTAGTTTAAACAGTCAATAATTCACACCATAATTATTAGACTGTAATCTGTCTGTAGTTTCCTGCAAACGCGTCTTAGCTGTAAAAATGCTCTATGGTCTGTCTGCTCAAATTTATCAGCGCTCTCCAAGCAGCGGATTATGCTTCAGTTTCTGTCACTAAATACACCTTATGCAGTTTTCCCACAACACTGTTGTGTGTGTGTGTGTGTGTGTGTGTGTGTGTGTGTGTGTGTGTGTGTATGTTCAGATGAGGCATCTGCTGAAGGAGAGGATTTGGAGCTTGGTTATCCCATTACATGTGGCGAGAGTAAAGCCATCCTTCTATTCAAGAAGTTTGTCTGCCCAGGAATCAATGTCAAATGTGTGAAGGTTGGTGTCGTTTAGACCTTAATGCTGCAGATAACAGTTGCTAATGTGTTTAATCTGGCTTTCTCTGTTTCTCTGCAGTATGAGGATCAGTTGATTAGTCCAAAGCAGTTTGTGCACATGTCGGGTAAAGCCACTTTGAAGGACTGGAAGCGAGCGATCCGGATGGGTGGGGTTATGCTCAGGTAATAAGCATTCTGGGTCTCTTCAGGTCAGACCTCAGTGCCAGCTATCAGTGTTTGTAGTTTTTATGTGTCCCATTACAGTATTGGTAGCCTTTCATAGCATATCATATATTTTTAATTCTTTTTTTTTGTTGTTGGTGCCACTATATATTAAGTGTATTTCCCAGACTAAAATGCATGTTTGATATGTTTTAACTGAAAGCAACTTACACTGACATATCTTAAAATTGTTCCATTGTTTTGTTTCAAGAGACACACCAGTAATGTTTTTTCTAAGGCATGTTTATAAAGGCTACGTACATATCCTAATTTGAACTGAGGCTTTGGCAAGGTCTGGCTTAATCTAACTGAACTACTAAATTACTAATTTGATAAAAGGCACTTGTTGTGTACATCCATGTTTTTACATTGTACTCAAAATTAAAAAAAAACTTCATGTAATTACAGCTGTAATTAATTTCTATAGCTACATCTACAGTATGGTTACACTGTTGACCCTTTCCTTACACCTTAACCCACCCTTAAGGCCCCGATATACTCGCGGCAAAGTTTTTTTTTGTTCTTCGTTTAGGGGTAAAACAAATTTCGAAATACGCGAGTAGCGATATACTGTTAGCGAACATCCGAATATGTAATGAATATGTAAATGTGTGGTGTGCCCTTTCCTCTCAGTAACAAAATAAACACAACAAAATTGAGAAAACAGCAAGCATTTTAATAAAGCATAAGAAAAACATCTGATCATAGCAACGTGGTTATGTGGCACTCCATAAAAGTCACGTCACGTTTATTTATATATCACTTTATACAATAGATTGCTTAAAATCAAGCAGCTTTACCGTATCAAACATGAAAAACAGTGTCAGTGTTTCGTTTCATCAGAAGTACTACTTAATTTTCTACTATAAAGCAGCTCTCCAGTGTGTTCATGTTTTCACTCAACCGACTGAACAGGCCAAATTAACCAGAAAATATTTTCACATGAAAGAAGGCGGAGCCTCCGCAGCCTACCTATTACGTAATCACCACGGACCAATGGTAATACAAAGGTGTTTAGCAGCCGCTTTGGCAAGCTGTTTCGAACTCCCAAAACGAACTCCAAACAAACTTTGTTTCGGCCTGATTTTGTTTGAAATGACGTCACATCAGTTCGTTCTTCGATTTCACTTGGGAGTGTATCAAGGCCTTTAAACCTAACCAAACCACCAAACCTGTCCCTGACCTTACCAGTGTTTTGCGATTCAACATGAACACAATAAGTACAACAATTTTTTTGATGTAGGTGTGACCTTTTTTCCCCTTTGTAATGTTAGACACACTTTGTTTCTGCTTGAAATTCAGTCATAATTTATTTACATAATATATTTACAGAGTTATGACACTTTGCTGTACTGTTTTAAAAGCTGTAGATTTACTCTGTTGAGTCCAATATACAGCCCTATTCTGCAATAGCAACCTCATAAAACAATTTCCACCAAAATGTGCCACTCAAACTGAAGATCAGATTGAAAATATCAGAGATCTTGTAAAAATTTACTTCAGCCACTCCAATGGTTTATAAAGGTACTAGTGCAGTGCCCGTGCAAAATCTGTTTTTGTGTGTGTTTTTAGTAATTGTTGGTTTGGTGTGTTTGAGTGTTCATAGTTACAATTACACAGTAAAAGTTCAGTGACATTTTTATTTGTGCATGGTAGAAAGCAAATACTGATACTGACATAATGACATACAATAAATATGGAAGATTGAACTACATGGTTGCATAACAATTTATAATGGTGGTATTAGGTGACATGCATTTGGGTATCTGTGTACAGGTAGTAGGAGTTTAGATTAGATTACATAGCAATTTAAGATGGCATATTCAACATCACATAGTTACAGGCTAACTTCAGCGCGTATGACACAGTAATAACTTAGCATTGAGACCAGGCTATGCTTGAGCAAACAGTTTGTGAATAGGCTTCTACAAATGATGGCTGTGAAAGAGACTGTGAACGCATTGAAAAGGATATGCTTAGTTGGTGAACAGCGATAACGTTAAGCGCACCAGAATGAAATATAATATTCAGAAGTAAACAGTGTAGCTGACTTACAGATTCAGTTAACATCCACAAATGAATGACGATTCAGGGAGCAGGCTACACAGTGAACTCCGAAAAAACGCTACGCTTGAGCAAACAGTTTGTGAATAGGCTACTACAAATGATGGCCGTGAATAAAATATAATATTATATTATAATATTAATTTATTATATAATACAAACTTGGCACTCCACTTACTCGTGCAAGACACCTGTCAAGTCACACCTGTCAAGCAAGACACCTGTCAAGTTTGAAATCCATCGGACTAACTGTTCGAGAGATATGCGAATATCACAATAGCTAAATTAGCATTAGCACAGCATGGCAAATTCACTTAACCAATTTAAACATGAGTGAAGTCTGTGTGGAACTTTTTTTCACCCTCACGCAACAATCGCACATATTCCTATTGAAATGACTGGATATCGTCCTCTAACTTTCGCTGAGCTCCGGTAAATGTGACTGTTCTGTTTGTGATTGTTCTGATGGATATGCAGAGCGGTAGGTGGTGCTACACACAGACAGGAACACCACAAGCTTTGACAGTTTTACTACATTTTACTCTTATCATTAGTACTTCCAGATGGATCACTGCCTAACATTGGAAACTCATTTGTTACAATAGATCAAGGAAAATTCCCCACTTTGACCCCTTCAGATTTTTTAATAAAAAAACAAATATTCTTCAGCTAAGTATTAGTCTTAACCTCTGAAA